CCTAACGGGAGTTGCAAGGTCTCTTTAACGGGAATCGATACCTATCTCAAGTAGCAGACGTTTTAAAAGTGTCTTTCACTCAATCTCACTTGAAAAAACCTGAAATACGCTTATATATCGTCAAGAGTAAGATGGAAAGATTAAGAAGAGGGGTAGGGGAGCACCTTGCGTTACTCTATTCCAAGTCAAACCAAAAAAAAATCCCCCCATGAACTCATAAAATTGTGCTTTTTAGAGTTTTTTCACAGATTAGACAGATGAGATCCAGCCTGTTAATTGATGTCAGTCAGCTTTGAATATTTGTACACGAGGACTAAAGAAAACATCAACTAATTCCAACCATGCTCTGTTCCTTTAAAGTGGACCTATCATGCTATATTTGAATAATATAGTGTAGGACCATACCTATATAAGGCATATTTATACTTTTTATTTTTCAAAATACCAAACAGATCATGCATTTTAGCCATTCTTCACTTCGCTCAATTGAACACTTTTTAAAAAAAAATTTTTTATATACTTTATTAATCCCCGTGGGGAAATTGTTTCTCTGCATTTGACCCATCCTAGTGTTAGGAGCAGNATGTGAATTTACTATAAATTAAAAACATCTATATTGATTCTGAGACTTCTAATTAATAATCTTTTTTCTCAAAGCAAGGTTAGATCTGTGAGTTGGATGTAGAAGTCTCAGAATCAATATAGATGTTTTTAATTTATAGTAAATTCACATTGAACATAGTAAAAAAATGTAAACTATGGTGTCCGTCCAAAAAAATTACTTATAGTGAAAACCACCCTTGAATGATGGGATAGTAGACTAAAAGCTTTAGGAATCCAAACTATAACATAATAAGTCCCCTTTATCAAGATTTATGCAAAACAAGTGACATTTGACCTTTTTATAGGGGTTTAATAATAATAATACATTTAATTTATATAGCGCTTCTCATCTGCCAAGACAATTAAACCACTTCTGGGGTCATTTGGGTGGATTTTCCATATCTCTGGCCCCCCTCGTTCGATTTTGATGATTGAAATGTCTTTTCCGTTAGAGCCAATAGAATCGAAGAGAAGTTCCTAAAATCCATCTAAACATTACCCATTGGTGAATGAGTGATGCGCAGCCAGAATACCCTGGAACCGGAAGCTGCAATACACTCTGGTGGCGATCATTAGCAGCTAATAATCTCCGTTTTTTTACATAAAAATGGAATGATGGGTTATCAATAATTTGACTTGTGTTTTGTACAAATGGTTTGTATTGTCAGTTAGCTGAGTTTCTTCACGTTAATCTGGTTTGACACATTAATAGGTTTTTAAATATTAAGAAGCCCTGTGACACAGTTTCGTGAAAAACAAACCGCAGCCCCCTCTACCGGGGGCTCTCAGGCTAAACAGGTTAAACAACTTCACAAGACTCTTTATCATCAAGGTCGGTCAAGTTCAGTTTAGGCAACTAATAAATACTTCTGAGCAGTGGTCGAAGGTAGTATATTTACTCATAATGTACAGTACTTTATTACCATTTTGACATACTTGTACTTTACTTGAGTATTTCCTTCTCATGCTACCCTATACTTCTACTCCACTAATAGCTACTTTTTTACCTATAAAAACACATGCTATGCTGATGATATGACGCTGTTCTGTTTTACCAGTAAACACATTGTTTTAAAGAGTAACTAAGTTGGCTCCACATTAAAATGTAATGACACTTATTTGGCAGTGATAAAAACAGAATAACAATATTCTATAATACTGTGAAAACAGACGTTCTGCATATTGAGTACTTTTAAGTTTGATACTCGAGGTACAATTATCTGAAAATACTCTTAAGAAATGTTTTAAATTAAGGATTTCAACGTTTAATGGAGTATTATAAGTATTTCTACTTTCGTAACTTAACTAACTTACTTTTATGGGTACTTTGTCCACCTCTATGTCCAGCAGAGATCTTTGAGATGTTGACATTAAGTTAAGAGAAAGCTTACTTTTGTGGTTTAAAGTCATAGAGGAGACAGGTTGTGAACCGTGGGCTTTTAATGTCAGAAATCCACATCCTTTTGAATACAGTTTGCAGTGCCATCATTTCACAGAACTTCCTTTATGCTGTGGAAAAAGGTCTGTTCACACTATTCATGCAAATCTCTGCAGGCATTATTTGTTTTGATGGCTTGCCACCACATTTCTACATCTGAACTGAGGAGTCTGAGCACCCACTTGGAACGCACATTTGCTGCATTTTTGGCAAGTCTGGAGGGGAAGCCAGGAGAGTATTTCAAAAGGATTTCTCTCCCTCTTTCTGTCTCTCTCTGACGTCAACACTGTGACCTGTTCTTTTGGTTCAGGGGCATGCTTTGAATCCATTGTCACATAAGCTGCGATTGAAAAAAAATGAAATGTCTGAGTGTACAGTAGCTGCAGGCCAGATAAAGCATGGGGCTATTTCTTCAACAGGGATATCAGTGCATTTGGAAGACTTCAGGCTAAAGGTTATCCACAAATCCTCCTGCAGCTCATGGGAGATGACAGCCTACCTTTCCTTTAAGCAACTCTAATACCTGATAATATCCCGTCCTCCTAGATACTGTAGCAGTGGATGCACTTCAGTATTTTTTTTTTTAACACAAGGAAGTATCTGAAAATGCTCTATTGCAGGATAATAGGCTTGTGACATGAATATATTTTTGTATTTATTTATTCTACTAAAATCATACAAAAAACAAAAAAGTATAATTCATACACACAAATGAACAAAATTAGTAGAAGCGGGAGGGCTGAAGCATAGCTTATGGGGAGTAGCCCTCCCTTGCATCATCATTATCATCAATATAATAATGGCATTTATTTCATCAAAAACGTATAGAAATTAAGGAGTACAAAGAAAACCAATGAAAACTGGAAAAAAATAAATAATAATAATTAGGGCAAGAAAAAAGCTAATACATATAGCCTATAAGCAATACTGGGAATATCCAATACCTGTTAGCTGGAGTAATCTGCAAATGTAATTGTTTTTACTTTAGTTTTGAATTGTTGATGACTTGTAGTACTTGAAAGGTCTGAGGTGAAGTCCATTCCACGTTCTAACTCCGATGATGGATCAGCTGTGATTTGATGGTTGTTCTACAGGGCTTGCTATACAACCAGTTAGGATGCCTGGTTGGGTATTTCATGACAGTGGCTTGGAACTGCTTTTGAATGTTAGTAGGCATTTTATTATGGAAAATGTTGTGCATAATCAGTACTGTTTTAAGCTTATATCAACAAATTTGAATAGATTGAGTTTTTTTAAATATGGGAGTTGTGTGTTCATATTTACCAACACCACAGACGATTTTTTTTGAGATGTTAATATTTTTTGTAGATTTGTTGAGTATGTGTTTCCCCATATTTCGGAGCAGTAATAAAGGTAAGGGAGAAATAGACTGTTATAAAGAGTTCTGAGTATTTTTCCCTCGAGAATGTTCTTAGTACGATACAAAATACCTATTGTTTTTGACAGTTTAGTTTGTACATAATTGATATGGTGCTTCCAGTTGAGTTTTTCATCAACAATGAGTCCTAAGAATTTACATGCACCAACTTTCTCTATCTCAGTATTGCAAATCCGTATAATACAGTCATTTCTACTCTCAGACTTTGTATTGAATAACATGTAATTTGTTTTGGCCACATTAAGAGATAATTTATTAACTGCAAACCAGTTACATAGTATTTCTAATTCTGCATTAACAATTTTAACAAGATCACAAAGATTATGAAGGGAGCAGAGAATGGTGGTATCATCGGCAAACAAAATGAATTTTAACATGTCGGAGGTGTTGATAATGTCATTAATTTAAATCAGGAACAGGAACTTTACACATGACTAAAACTGAAACCCCTGCAACAGTTTCAACACAGATATGCACATTGTGCAAGTTAAACAACTGTTTGCAATCTGTATTCAGACAAAATGCAAGTACAGGATGAAGCATTCATGAAACAATTTGAATTGTAGCTGTTTCTTTCCACACATTTGTGGAAAAAGGCCCATTATCATTTCCCAGAATCCAAGATGACGTCTCCAAATGTCTTTTCTTTATCCCAACATTACCCCATAACCCCAAATGATCCAGTTAATATCAAGCAATCAGTAAATCCTTACATTTGAGACATCAAAACTGCTATGTTTGGAATTTTGCTGGTAGAATAAGGAAAATGATACATAGATTTTCAAAGTAATACATTTTCTGTGGAGCAACTAATCAAATATTTTACAGGTTGTTTCAACTGTTATAGGTTAACTGTCTGGCTATTAGTATTACATTATTTTTACTTACATTTTAATCTAACAGGTCATTTACAGAACTCTTTCACCAAACGCTCTTCAGTAAAATCATTCCAGTCATAACCTCTGAATCTTGTCAGCACAAGTAAGTCAATTAGTTATACCAGCGGAAAATCATGATGGCTTGCTTTTCCACTCTACATCGGAAATAACACCGCAGAATTTTTTAATAGTACTTTTGGTGTTTAACTACATAGGAACTGTTTCTTTAAATATAAAAAACATATGATATTTGGTGAGAAAAGTGCAGGTAAAACTTAATGTTTGATGGCATTCATTTTCATCTGAAGCAAGCAACTTATCTAAGTGGTGACAAAGCTGAACATAACACTAGAAAGGGTTCTTCGTTTCTTTCACTGCTTCTGTTGATGGTAAACTGACCTTACACTTCTAACTCTTTTTTGTGTGTGATTCAGACATGACGTGATCACCTTTCTTTTTTCCCTTCCTCTCCTTTTATCTTAATGAAATGTGTTTCTGCTCCTTCCTAATCCACTGACAGCTCGTTTCAACACCGTGTGAATTGGACCGGTGTAATGACAGGTCAGGCATTAACATGGACAGCTCAGGGACATGCGGAGTGGCTGAGAGGGATTAGGCCCCCCCGGTCGCAGTTAAACAAGGCCTTATGAAGCATTAGTCAACACCTTCTTATTATACAACCATGGTCAACACCCCCGCCCCGCCACCCCCTCACCTCGTAACACTGGAGCATGATGAACGCTTCAGTGTTCCTACACCTCCATCTTTACTGCTGTAGGAGAAGGTTATTGTGCCCAGGGGCTGTGTAGTTTCTCTGGCCTACAGACAAGCAATAAGACTTACTGGGACTTTTTATTTTTATACGAGACAGATGTAAATGTTCAAAGCAACTAATCTATCGTCCAGGAGGCACTTCTTCTGCACGTGCACTTCCCCAGGAAAAATTGGGCGACGCTCAATTTATTTGAACAAAAAGGAATTGTGATGTAATATGAAATGTAACACAGACTGGCCATTTTAGCAAGAGCTGTAAAACGACACATGTTCACGTTCAGGTGCCAAAGACCTCGAGCTGTGAAGGTATTGTGACCCTCGTATGAAGTCAAGTTGGATCAACGGCTCGACAAAACGTCTTCATATGCAGCATCGTTATTTTGTACCATTTCTTTCGGACTGTCAACTTTTTTAATTCCTTTTAACCATGACAAGGACCGTTCCCTGTCCTTAGACACATGTGTATTACTGTAGCCATGACTCCGAAGGTCCCGCAACCTTATCAAAGGAGCAATTATAACCCACAATATTTCCCTGAGGCTGAATTATACTTGGTTTGAACGTCTATGGTTTGAACAACATGTTTTCCTGCGTCCTTCTCGACCGTTGGTTGCGTTGGTCTTAATATTAACGTGACGTAATGGCAGATTAAAAAGAAAGTATTTTCGGTATTTTTCAACAGTAACTGGAAAGCATAGAAATATTATATTGTCAGAAAAGCACCTATATGTTGTTCTACAGGGCAGCAATATACTACATTAGCTTGCTTGCTAACTAAAACTAGTTAGCAACGAAGGAGGAAGTTAGCAACGAAGCTAAAAAAGCTAGCAGCTAGCAAAACATTTTTGTATAAATGCTTGAAATAGAAAGCTACAAGTAATGGATACGTTTTTCATTTCTTGCCTTTCTTTTGTCTCCCATACATCAGTTCCATCATCACATATATTTCTGAAAATATTATATTTTTTGAATGTTACAATCTTTGACGTATCAATTAAGCATTGACCCAATATGACTTATGAAGGATCAGTAAACTCATACTGTCCTTTCCTCTTCCTCTTTCTGCTCTCTATTCCCTGTATTTCTTCCAGATATCATATGTAGTTATATAAATATTATGTGAAATTGCATGTTAAGTACCCCGTGATCCACATATATCAATTTGAAACAGAACCGTCATATGTGAAGCCAACAAAATCATCTGAAACCGGGTTGCAAAGTATCACTTAAACTTGTATTCTCTGACAGAGCTCTTCATTTTAAAATCAGTGTCTCTGAGCTCAGAGAGAGAGCGAGCCTTGGCCCGTGTCTTTAGATCGTAACCAAGTAAAACACATGGACATCCTTAAAGGAAGCATTTGGCAAATTGTTTTCGAAAAAATGCTTACATGTGGAAAAGCCTTGGCTCTGACCTCCACTGGAAACGATTCGGTGGTTTCGTGGTGGAGAACGAGGGTTTAGACAGCCATGGTGTGCGAAGTGTGTGTGTGTGTGTGTGTGTGTGTGTGTGTGTGTGTGAGGTCGGATTCATTCACACTGCTCTACCTGAAAATCCATCCTGTTATCCTCGGCATCTCTCCACCTTTTTTCTTGATACTATAAATATCCAGCAGATATAAATGTCATTTCCCGATATCGATCACCTACAATAGGTTCCCTTCTATTGATCTCTCCCTCTGGCCGGCTTCATCACGCTGTTGCGGCAGAAATGAATTAACTTCTGAATATTCAATCTTGTTGACAAGGAGCTGTTACTGCTGACATTTATACCCCTCAGTCTCGAGAGTTGCTGCGGTGGATTTATCGGCTTGTTCGGGTCAGTCAAACTGTGAAATGTAAAGCCAGCAGACGTGTCCTCGCTGCCGTTAGAGGGGCTCTCCGAAGAGTCGATGTGTTTTCTCTCTGTCTCTAAATCTCTGTCTTTATCGACTCATGTATTCGTCTCATAGTCTCCTCTCTATGTTCTCTGTTCCAGTTACTAGGGCTGCCCTCAAATAGTCGTCTCGTTCGACTATCCGGCTAAAATAAGTCTTACGCCCCGTCCACACAGCAGCTTTAAAAAAATCTTCCAACGCTTCTCTGGCCATTGACTTTAAATGGGGGTGACGTCACTTTGCCTCGCTTTTCGCCGAACTGCATTGTGGGGAAGCAAAGCGAAGATTTCCAGGTTTTTCAGGATTTTCAGGATTCAAAAGTTGAGCAATGTTCAACTTTTGAAACTGAGCTGGAAGCGTCAGCCAATCAAATCCCGTTTATGCAAATCTGACAGTACAAGCGCTAGCCAATCAAACCGCGTGCAAGCTGGGAGAGCCAGTTCATTTCCTCATATTCCAAACGAGAAATCACGGTAGCAAATCACCCGGTTCTTTAAGACCAGTACTATTTACCGGGATACAAACCGGAGGAACCAGGCATGGAGGGAGGTGGCAGAGACAGTGGGTGCGTTTCACTTCGGTTAAATGGATTCCTTGCGTCCCTCACTTGCGTCGTTTCCCTGCGGCTAGTCCCTCCCACCAGGGAAGCATGGAGAGACGCAAGGAAACCACGAGAAGCAGGGAAATTTGTTTTAAGAGTAATGGGACGTCGTTTCCTCCGGAGCGTCACGTGAAGCGACGTCCGTTTGTGATGACGCCGCACAGCTGATCGTCTGACAGCAGCCAGATCAGTGCATGCGCTGCATCGCCCAATCAGTGAGCAATACACAGTAAGGGGGTGGGGCGAGTGTCTGAGGATTTCACTGGAGGATGGTCTGGTAGTTCCTCAATTATTGCTCCTTGATCCTCGGTCCTCCGGCAAAAATAAGGCCACTGGGACGCTACTCAAGATGGCGCAGACAAATCAACTTCCGGTGATACCGAGCCCGAGGAGCGAGGAAATTAAAAATAACCAAAGTGAGACGCAGCCAGTGAGTCAGGCAGCAGCTTAGCCTTATATAAATATATACATATAGAGACCTATTTAATGATATAATAATTCTGATCTCAGAACAAAATAAATTCAAGAGTGTAATTCGCATAGGAATTTTTGCCAATGAAAATATTTTCAAGTGTTTCCGTTTGTTGTGTTATATGTATTTATTTTTGTGCTGTTATTGACGAGTGGACCGCTTCGTCCGTGCACTGTGACTCACGTGCACTTTCCTCATGCCCTTTCCATGCGTAAAATTTTCTTAATATTTCCAGGGCTCATTATTACAGATTGTATTGTGTCTTTTATATGTAGCAAAAGGTAGCATGATATTACTCATATTTGTCTTCCCTCAGCCCTAAAACAAAAACAACGAAATAATAACCATAATATTAATAATCATAATATAGCATAAAAGTGCAACGCCTAGTCGACTAATCTCCTGCATTGATGTCTACTGGTCGACTGGAAAAATCTAAAATGGAGCAGACCTACCAGTCCCATTATGCAGGTTTTATTTCCTGTCAGACCTTTCGACCAATCACAAGAGGATTCTCCAGTGAAATTCCTCTCTGCTTGCATTCTTGGAAGCTGTATGTTGCAAAGAGTGCAGACTGACAAAGGGTTTTCTTAAGAATATGGAAAGATAGGAAATGTGTAGATCTTGTTGGAAGAAAGAAGCCTTTGTGCATGAGACAGGGTTGAATGCTTTGCGAGTATTTGAGGAATATATGCATAAATGAGCAACACTATCCCGCACGTCTGTCAGAGCTAATAAACATAACATGACACCCGCTGCTATTTACATGTACAGGGATTTTTGGCCGAATTAATATGTAAATGCACCTGGAAAGAGTATAAGGATATAATCAAACATGACTTGATAAATTGGTGTTGGACAGGTATGGATTTTTTACTCGTTGAAAAAAAACGGCCTGATCCAACTCAGTCATCAATATTTTGACAGCTCGTCATTGGTCGACCTTTCGACTCCCAGCATGCCTTGTCTCGTCCAATCAGAAATAATGGATCAGAGGCACGACGAGAGGACAGACGGGGAAAATGTGAACCTCGCTTCTCTTCAATCACAGTTATAGAGCGATGTAACGGACAGCTTGTGTCCTTTATCACACCGACTGATCTTTCATTTCAATTGTCTGGCTTTCAATTCCAGACTAAGTGTGCGTTTAAAGTAAAACCCTCTATGGCTGGGCAATATATCGATATGATAATGATATGAGGCCTGATATTGTGTCTGATTTTGGATATCTTAAAGGTCCCATGTCATGCTTTTCTGGTTATTACCCGTCCCCTTGTGTGTTATGAAGGTTTTTCTGCATGTAAACGGTCTGCAGAGTCACAAACCCTCAAAGTACACCCTGTAGCGAGTAAAACTCTAACACAGAGAAGACCTGTCTATGCTGCCCCAGAACGCCTCGTTGGACATTTCTCTTTTTCCATTTGTTTCTTCCGGGAACCAAGTGAAGTCATGCGGTTCCCGGAACCAAAATGGACCAATCCGCGGAGCTCCTCACACACCAGGAGGGGTGGGGACCTTTAGCGTACATTTTCAACTAACAGGGAGTCCCATTGACTTGCGTAGAGCTCCCTGGTTGGTAATAGACGAGATGGGATGGCGGAGAAATGCTCTCCTCAGACCCATTCTCACAGCGTTTATAAACCTTTTTCTTACTCAATATCAAGCCACACTTATTGTTTTTACTACGGCTGTGAGTCTTTGTGTGTGCTCAGGATGAGTTTTGCGCTGTCCCGCTGTATCGGAAACCACACCAGTAAGCCAGCTCACTGAGCAGCGAGCCTCGCAACATCCCGACCAATCAGAGCACACTGGGCTCACAGGGAGGGGGGGGCCAGGAGCTCCAACAAGCAGGACAGAGTGTGAATACACAGACTATACAGAGATGCTGTATGAGAAACCAATGTGAGTTTGGAACATTGCACAATATAAATCTATTCTAGTAGACCTCAACAATGGAAATATGATCAGTAGCAATGGCCATGCCATGGGACCTTT